GTATATTGTAATTATATTGTGTCAAATTATTCAAGTTGTAGGTATTTTTGTGTTTTTAGGGTCTGTTGGTTTTGGTAGCGATATTGAAGTTGATTCCAAAAGTTACAGTGATCTGTTGTACATTTAATAATTATTTTCTGAATGTTTTAGTTTTAGGTACAACCAATACATGGATGCAATTGATTAAAAGCACAAAAATTAACCTACAAACTCAATATGTTTGTGCTGATTACACAGAACGAGATTTACAAGGTCTCAGAGCTGAAAAACGTTTTAGAAAGTTGCTGTTAATTTCTTCTGGGTAGTTAGAAATCCTGGCGGATGCTGGAATCTTAATAAAGCGTTAGGAGCAAAGGAGGGGAAAAAAGTGGGGCGAGGGGGGCAGGAAGTCAGACATTATTTGTCAGATTTATCATTTTGAACCAACAGAAGGTCAGCAGATAAACCAGGTGGAACCTGTTTTACAAACACAGAACGTACTGCCATATGCTCCATAGTTACCAGACCCAGAGGAGGTGTTGGACAGGCCATATTTATGCACAAATGTGAAAAAAAAGAAAAAATGTCATGCTTATGGGCTTATTAAGCAGCACAGCAAATCATCAACTTTTCAGCCCCAACCAGCCCTGCCTTTTGTGACTTAAGGCAATTAATCAGTGTTCTCATAGTTCCCTCTGGAGCCTCCTAATAATTATTATGACCATGTGCCTGTAATGGTCTGTTTATTAACATTTTGATTGGTAAAATTTATTCAATTTTCCCTTTGAGGCACTTTGGTCATTACTTGTTTTAATGTCTCCACTGTGTTTGGAAATGGGAAAAGTCTAGTAACGTGCTGCCTTGTTTTATAATGTATTACAYTGCAGACTGCAGCTTCACTTACACACTCTGCTCATGAGTTGTGTTCCTAAACTGAAAATGTATGTTTGGTTGTCTTTTATTTTTGACCATTTAAATCATATTACACCATTTGGGGTAACTTTGGCTAAACAGAGAGGAATGAACTTTAYATTAAAAGTTATTTGCAGCATGTCATCAACCAAGAAACAATATGTTACAAAAAGCAATTTGCACCCAGATTACCACRTAAGCAGGTTTTTGCACTAAAAACWAAATTTAACACATTCCACAGTCTTCTAAAGGTCAGCAGTGTGACTGTCTCATCCAGGACTTTAAACACAACAATTAGCTGCTCTTAGTTAACTTCTCTGGATTCAAGGCCTATTTTATTTTTTATTTTTTATATATTTCRCCATAACTGTCATCCATTTCACGGCTGCGTGTGTGTTTTTTACTTTTTTTTTTTGTTTGCTTCTTTTTATTTCAACCCACCACAACAAAACAAACTCAAATACAACAAATTAATCACTGAGACAATTCGGCTGCTTCTGCCATGAATTTTACATGAATCAATTTGTACAAACAGTAATCTTTTCTCAAAATGCAATAAGCTGTTGAAAGACACTAAGAATCTTTGCACTCCAATCCCGGGGGGTGGGGGGATGGGGGGGGCACAGCAGGAGGTAATTATCTGAAATTTTGAAAGCACAAATGACCTCGGCATAACGTGATGTCAGTGAAGCACATGCTCCTTGGACCTTGATTTCCTGTTGTTGTTTTATTTTAGGGCGGCTGGCAGTTGTGCAGAAGATGAAAGAGAATTTTATTTTTATTTTTTTATTGTCATTATTTCTTTTTTTTAACAGCTGCGAYGATTGTTGGTGAATTTTGTTTTTCTCTCCATGGAGCATCATGCTGTTTAGGGATGAGTTTTGGCGTGTGACAAAAAATATTTTCTGCCAGTAATAACAGCAAAAAGCAGAAATGGAGGTGATGCTTCAACTAGATTTGAGAAAGGAAATTTAACATTTTGTTTCCAATAAAAATGATAATTTGCAAGTTTGTATTTAAAAATGTTTCATAAAATTTATATTATACATTATTTCAAGATAATTTGTTCATACATACCTATTTAGATATAAC